CCCCCCCCCCCCCCCCCCCCCTCCCCTTCTCATTTCTCCATTTTATGTTTCACAAATTTGCTTTGCAAAAGGAAAGAACTGCTAAGGTACTTGTGACAGTGTGACCATGTTAATGGCACTGGCTCCTAGAGCTTTGAAGTTTTCACTCCACATTATACTGTGAAGAACAGATTAGGAAGGAAAACCATCCAGAAATTTATCTCATAGCATGTCTTTGGTCAGTAAATACTGAATGCAGTGCTAACAAGTACTTATGGCTTTGCTCCCATTACTTGACATGGTAATAAACAGTTCACATTGAAGTGACTCGCAGCCTTTTTGAGCGTAGGTAGGCAGCAGCAATTCAGCACTCTCACTTAAAAGATGAAATTAAGCTGTCAGAAATATCATCTCTGTGCCAGAACTTACAAGGAAGCTCACTGACAGCAATCTTCATTTTTTTTTGCTCTTCTCACTTGCCCTGTACTAACAGGGTTTTGCCTTCATTTTTGCACCTCGAGTTAAATAGTTGCTGAATTTAACTTATTTATAAAAATTAGTATGGACAAATTAGCTCCTACTAATGTGCTAGCAATCCTGAGATTACTGACAAACCTAGAGTTACCAGTCAGAGAGGCAAGTAGTCTGAATGGGAGAGAAATTCAATACAGAGCAACTTCAACTTTTGGACCTTGTCACCCACACCTGAGAAACTAATAAATATTATGCTGTAAAAAGCTGATGGAGGAGAACAGAAGCAGCTCTGTGTTATAAAGAACTGTAGACACGGAAAGCATATAGACGTGCCAATTATTCTTGGTGTAACACAGATTAAATTTTGAATAGTTTGAAATCACCATCTATGTTTTAAGACATCCTGAAAAACTGCCATTACATAGACTATTTTTTTTTTCCAGTGGAATTTAAGATTACAGATGTAGCTATCATATATTAAGTAACAATAAGGTGTTTGAGGTTGTAGAAGAAACTCTCCCAACTCAAACCTGATTCCTCTTAAACAAACCCCAGATCTACACAGAAAACAGACAGACAATCCAGTTTACACATGAGGTGAAAAGTTGTGAGTTCTCCATAGATACAAAAAGAAATCTCTGATATGCATTTACATCAGAGGATCATGCAGTCCTTTTTCAGATGCAGTACTCTGTAGGAGACAGCTTTCACCACAGAGGAAATTTCCAAGAGTTGAGTTCATCTGTTTCTCTATTGGTTGAGACATCAGAGATCACTCTATTACACATATTTAATACACAGGCCAACCCTTTTATGTATTAAGTCCACTAATATTGAAATGACTACACTGTAGTCTTCTTCCACAAAAAATACTTTCCTATCTACATATTAAAAATATTTGTACACAGGCATCACTTCAAGTTTATATTCATTTGCAAAGGCTGTGGCAGGGGAAAAGACCTTGGAAGTTTCTGACTTTCCTATCTTGACTAGTACTCAGGAAAGGTGCTGTATCTGTCTGCCACCACCTGCTGAAACATTTCCTGGCAATTAGCAGTAGCTTCATTCTTCTTTTGGTTCCCCACACCAATACACACTAAAGAAATCTGGATTCTTAAGTCATCGGAACTATTTAAAAATTAGGTCTTTTCACTCAAGGATAAACACGTAGGCACAATTCTGCACTGTGCAAACACTTACTGTCTTATTAAGTCAAAGAGCTGCCCTGAGTTTACAAAATAAACTCAGAACAACATGTACAGGCTTTTGGGGGTTAAAAGCAGAGTATAGTACTAGGTCAGGGAAACAGGCAGAAGCATAGATCTTCCTAACTCTCTGGAGGAACAAACAATAAGGGCTTCAGTTGAGATGAAACTTAATGTACTTATTATTCAGTCCTACCTACCTCTCCCATTACTAGAAACTCCCTTGTGGTCATAGCAAGGTTGCAGCAGCCAGTGACCCCAGTAAAGGATGACCAGCTTAAATAATCAGTCATTTGGCCTGAGACGAGTGGAGGCCACATACTGACTGGTCACAAGTTAGGAAACTGTAAGGTCTTAAGAACCTCAGAATGACTCATCACACTTGAAAATAAGTTTCCATGAATTTTCAGGCATGTAGTGAGAAGCACCCCCTGGAAGGCCTTCCTGCCCAGTAAGAATTATGCTCTACTTCAGCAACGTCCTTATTTAAAAGTATTTGCTTCTGTTTACTTCAGCTGCAGAGAGATACTGTCATTCTGATACAATTTAATGCATGCCCAGTAAAGATCTGGAAGTAACAGTAAGAAAATAAAGCAAGCAAGATGGTAGGAAGCACCATTGCTCTGTTTTCATGCTCTCATACTGCGTAGGTAACATATTCTGTGTACCTTTTCCATAGAACATTCGCTATGGTGATAAACTCCTGCATATCATCAAACAGCAGTAACGCAAAAATGACAAGAAAAGCAGATGTTGAAGTAGCACAGAAATGCAGCCAGTGTCCAAAATCTTACCTTTCAGAGTTGCTTTCTTAAGTACCTTCATGGCATACAGCTGGCCTGCATCAGATCCTTTGATCTTCCTCACTAGAAATACCTGTAAAAAGAACAGTTTGTGTAAATGGGTACCAAGCTTTTAGTTATGAACCTTGCAGCATTTGATAGGGAAACATATACTAAATTTCGGGAATTCCAATGAAAATTTCTGGCTGAAAGCACTTTATATATTTCACCTGCAATTGGTTGAGCTAATTCTGGAAAGCTTCTGTTTTAAGCCTTCACTTTCTGACAGCTTTTCAGTATTGCTAATAGCCCTTCAAGATTCAGTTAAAGATGGTGAGTAGTCATAAACAATGTGTGCACATTTCTACACATTACGAACAGCTTTACATGAAAAAGGTGATGTCTTGCTTGAGCTTAGGAATACAGAATTTTTTTAAAAAAATTATTTTCAGCAATTAAATTAAGAAGGAAAAAAAGGTGTAGCTTCTGTCATAAATCATGAAAGATGACTAATGTAAAAAGTAAGGGAAGCAGAAAGTTTTTACAGCTGGAAGTTTGCTCAGGCATACTTAAGAAAAGGTAGGAAAATTTGATAGGTTATTATAATAAAGACATCTTTCCTTGTTACAATGTCCTATGTTACAACTTTTGACAGTGTAAATTTTTAATTGGGATAAAATAAATTGTAGATAAAATTTTGATTTTTTGTTGTTGTTTTTTTTGTTTGTTTGTTTAACTCCATGAGACTATTCTTATCTGACTCTGAGTCAGTCTGAACACGAGGACAACAGAAAAGAAAACCATAACTTAGTTCAGTCTTTATAGGATGCTCAGTATTTTAATATTTGAAAATAAGACAATATTTTAGTTGATCCTCAGGACACACTGTTTGCAGAGGTCAGCAACATGACAGCAGGGGCTCAACTGTTATTTCAGCACCTTTACTACTGGACAGAAGTGGAAGTAAAGCCAAATACAAAAAAAGCACTGCAAAGCTCACATACGTAACATATACATATAAATACATGAATTAAAGTCTAAATGAAATTATTTTACTCTAGAACGTCTACTTGGATTGCAAAAATCTGTGGCAACTATTTTAATTCATCATTTATTCATGAACCACACAGCCTTGCAAATTGCCTTCATCCAAAACATGAAAAGTCAAAAAAAGAAAGGAGGAAGTCTATTTCTAGCACATTATTTGCAAGTTGAAATACACTTCCTTCTTAAAAAACAAAAAACAAAAAACAAAAAACTGTAAAAAACCTACAATTTTCTCAAGCACTCTCTGAGAAAAAGGTTTGTGGGAGAAGATAACTTTTAACAGCCATCCAGAGAAGCTGAAGGAAAAATAAGTAAATTCTTTCTCTGAACACCTTAACCAGAGCTCTTACATCTGCACAACATCACAGCTACAACACTTCTGCTATACGATCTGATACATTTTTGGTGAGGCTTTCATTCTCAAGATGTTTCCTGTGCATGTGAGATATGTACAGCTCTACAGCTAAGCTCTCCTAACTCACTGAGATTGGGCAGATGTTGCTGATTCCTGTCTCCTGTTTCCTAGTTTGAAGAACGTGCAAGTACCTCTGGTACTCACAGCTGCAGAAACAAATATGAAATCTGGAATGCAACAGGAACATGTAAGAATTTCTGAAGTGCTTTCATTAACGTTCATAATAAATTAATCTCAGCTGCTCCAATAATTAATATTAACAGGAAGTCAATTCATTTAGAAGTTCAGATAGAAAGAGAAATATTAGGATATTTTTCCACCAAGTCCAAGTCAAAGGTTTAATTTTTGCATTGCTTTATAGGGGAAGAAAAATCTAAAAGTACTTTTGCCAAAACGCTAGATTTTTAGCATTATTATTATTGTGCAAAAATGGATATGGATTTATTTCTGAAGAAGAAAAAAAAATAAAAAAGAAAGAAAATGCTAAATCTCAAAATTTATATTATCTCTTTATATTAGCTTTAAAATAATAATTTACCAGAATTGTATGGGCATATTCCTGAGCAGAATTTCAACTTTCTAGTATGATTTGCATGAAAACACCCTAGGTTATAAGCAAATGTGTTGATAGAATGAGCAAGAGTCCTTTAGCTGGAGTACTGAGTACAACACCCAAATCCCAATCCAGAAACCTAAGCAAGTGCTGTGACTTTCATCAGTGTTGAGTGTACTCCCTCTGAAACCAAAGACTTTTTTTTTTAATTCTGCAGGAAATGATGTAGGTCTCAGGTGAACAACTTGAAAAACAGCTCTGCATCCCCAGAGACTTACAGATTTGAGCTATCAGCTGAAATACTGAAGTGATGAAAATTTACAGACTGCATAAAAATTTCCAATCAGACTTCGTTCCTCTGTGTCTATGATGATTTTGTGAATTTACTGACCAATTTCACATAAGATACTAAAGTGTCTTACAATTACACAACTCCAGACAGGTCTAATATCCGCAGTCATATACTGATCCTGCAGCAAATCAAGGGAATGTGTCACAGAAACCTGATCTCATTTTAGGAAGTGGTAGCAGAGGCTAGACATTTCAATTATACAGTGCCTGAAGCTCGAATGCCAAATTTGACAGTTAATAATGAAATACGTCAGTACAATCTAAGACATTCAAAACCCAAATATCATTACAGTGCTCTTAAGCAGTTCTCTAGATCAAAACTTGGTAGTGAATGCTAATTTTTTTGATGTCTCTCATCTCTTTTAACAACCTTATTTATCAGCATAATTCTGGAATACTCAGAAAGCTACTAAATACATTCAAAATAGCTTTTTTTTCCCCTCATGAATAAAACTGAGGATCGTGGCTTATTGTCATGGTTCTCAGCTTTTGCTAGGACCTCAATAGATTTTAGGTACGAATCAGTGCTTCAAGTTAGCTGGAATGATCCATCTCTGAAATATTTATGAAATAGACTAAAATTTAAAAAGCACTGAAAATGATAAGGACTTCCATGTTCGGTGTAAACTAGGCTCACCTCTCCACAGGTTTCAAAGGCTTATTTAGTTAAACCATGGAAAGAATTTAATGATGAACTGATGAATCTCCCTTCTTTCTCTCAATTTTTTCTTCCTATTCTCATTTGCAAATGACACATCCTTTTCAAAAAGAATTGCCTCTGGGATTGAGAAAAGCCTTAAGATAAAAATGTTGTTTCTCAATAGCTTGTCATACATCTAGACGATTTTTTTTTAATACACATGCTTTAGGTACACAGAATGCATACATATACACTTTATAGTCACTTGGCAGTGAAACATACAAGGAAAAACAGCTTGGTTATAGGTGTCAAAATTCAAAACAAAGACACTGCGATGAAAATTAAGTGCTTAGCATCTAGGCCTAAGAAAGCAGCTTTTCTTACAAAATCAATGTGAGGTAACAAGCAGGGTGAAAGACGGGGGCTTTGAAACATGCTTGTGACCACGTCTGCCCTCAGCAGAAACTGGGAAGCAAACTTCTTTTAAGCTTATCAGTGTTCCTACAACTGAGCAGCAGTAGCACGCTTACTTAACTAGTGGATAGGTTAGAAAGAGGGAAAGGAGTATAACTTTATAAACAATGCTGTTCACTATCCCTGCTTACTTCTGTTCCTTAGACTATATCCAGAGCCAGAAACGTTATTTTCTAAACTGTTCTATATACAGAATTCCAGCAAAGGACGGACAGATTATTAAAATGAAGGCAGAAGAGGCTTATCTGCCTTTACAATACAATATGTATAGGCAGTGTTATCAGTGCAAATGAACTCAGAGAAAGAACACAGCATTTTCAGTCTTGATCTACGTGATTAGATGGCATTAAAAATTACCTTTCCATATGAACCTTGTCCTAATACTTTCAGCAGCTCAAATTGAGAAGGATCTGCTTTTTCAAAACCTTCCTTCACATGGTGACTGATGTCTATTTCCTTCACAATACCTTCTTCCTGTAAAGGAAACAACAAAAAACATCATTGCCAAATCAGAACCATTATTCTAAGGAAACATACTGTTAATTAAAATCTCATCTTGTGCAATGCTATAATCATATACGAAATTTGGAAAATATAAGCAAATATTTACCATGTGCCTCTTGCAGGCAGGACAGGGTAATGGGTGGGATATCAGGACGTCCTCCTGTTTATCAATCTCAAGATTATGTCTAAATAAAGGTATAGCAAACTGAAACAGAGATATACCACAGAGCTCAGTACTCATCACAGACCTTGCTAACATAGTGTCATGTTCCCACATCAGTAGTACAGAGGATCCAGCACACTTCTTTCCACAAACTTTCTCATTCTTGCTCAAAGCATCACTTCGAATTCATCTTAAAAAGTGAAAATCACTTAAGTTTGAAGCAGCAATTCTTATGAGTAGACCACAAAGGAAAGGCATTGTTAAAAGTACATCTTCCAATTTACCTTGAAGAATGGAAGATTACTACCAGAATCCTTCTAAACAGAAAACAAATTCAAGATTTAGATGTGAAAGCAAGGTGGTAGGAAGAAGAATGGCAAACATAAGAGACAGCTGTACAAGGACTTTTCTCTTTAGCTGTAACAAGAGATATTTGATTTAGTTGCTTGTGTATTGTTATTATGGCATGATCCTCTAAAAAGAGGGCGACGGAGTTATGGGAGAGCCAAAGGGATTACACTGAGTTTGCAGCAACCCAGAAAGTCACTGAGCTGAAGAGAAACCTGAAAGAAATATCTTCTCTTCAAGGACACAGTGGTGACGGAAGATATTTTTTATATGCCTTCTTATTTCTGAAGTGTTCTGTACACCTACATTTGAGGATGCTCTCCTATTAAAAATAGATGTTCTAATTTCTCAACAAGTAAAGCATGGATTTTTAGTATAAAATTTATTTTGTTTAGTTTCCCAGATCAAGGGGAATTGCTCATTTAGGAATAGGTTTAAATATTCATGCATCTACTAAAATTCATTAGAATCTTTGAAACGTTACTTCTAGTTTGAATTTTGCTGTAATTCTTGTTTTGTTTTTTTTTTCTTTCCTCAAGAAGAGACATTGATATATAACATATGTGTAAAGTTTTTCTCTCTTCTTAAACTATGTGTAGTAAAAACAGAAATAATAACCTAAAATGAAAATGCATTCGTAAACATATTTGGCCAAAACATGTTTATTTACTAAACAAAATAGATGTTAATTCATTCACTCCATTCATCTCTTCTCCAAGAAAACTGCTGTCACTTTCTAGCAGCTACAATAACTCATCTGATGCATGGCTAGCATTACCCTGACTGTACTACATGCTACAGTTTCTTCCCTCTTCTTTCCTCCCTTCCTCTTTACACTCATGTGCTCTGGGACAGGGACTGTATCCTCTTCTTGGTTTGGAAAGCTTCCTGTACTTTGCGTATGCTGCCAGAATCATAGAATACAATCATCATCTGACAGCAACTAGTTTTTCTGATCCTAATTTCTCTAGTTTAAGTGATTTGCATGAAATGAAATGCTTGAAACCAACAACCAGTTTTCACAGAGAGATTTAAAACTTTTCTAACAGTACATAACTGCCAAGAGCCTCTTGTCTTTCTGGCTTTAATTATTGTGGAGAATAGAGTATCTTTCTGATTAAAAAAAAACCATATATACATACATCATTTCATTTTTCTTCTATATGAAAGTAACAATAATAAACTAGAATAAACTTGCAAAAACACTGTTTCTTATGGAACTACCCACATGGAGCAATCAGAGTCATCATCAAGTCCTGAAGTGGTGAGCTTTCATACCAAGGGACCTGCATTTTTACATGAACTGCCTGCAGCTGAGAAGCATGCATACTGTTAAGAATCTTATTTTGAGATAAGCCTGTTCAGCTATACTACAGCTTTGGTAAAGTATCTGTGCTACATGGCTCACCAGCCACTGTACTCACAAACAATTATTCCCCATATAGTCAGGCTCCTGCCCTGATTTATCATCCTTTACTCTGTACACTAGACCTTGTATGCTTGGGAGTTCTTTCTCCACTGACCATAAACAGATTCTGAGAAGAGTGGCTTCCACAGGCCAGCATCTGTGTGCATACACCTCTTAAGAACTATGAAACAATGAAAATACGGAATGACTTCTTTCTCAAGTCAGGACAGCTTGAGCACACTCAGTCACCATTTCAGGATTTTGCCCATCCCTGTTTGTCCAGAAGCACAGCACAGCAAGGACCATCCCTCAGAACAAGGTGAAGTATGAGGCGGATATAAAATTTACCATGTATTTGGGCTGCAAAGCTCTGAAGAAAGAAAGACCAACCTCAGTTTTATACACACCATCTTCCTCAGATTTACTTGTACTTTGATCTAACATCTCAGACTCAAAATTTGTGATTGAAATCTACTGCCTGAAGAGAACATCAAATCCATTCATTTCTGTGAGGTGCATTTCAGCCTGTACCATTCAGTCATTTCAGCTACGTTTGCAGGTTTAAAGGATGAGTGAGTTTCGATTGATCCATTAAGATTAGTCATCAAAGCCACAGGTCTACAACCATAAGCGTATTTCCCATTGTGTTATTAAATTTAAAATAACTCTGTTCTTTCAGTGTGTTAAGTTACAGGAATATCTTGGGAGTATTAAGATGATGAATTCAAGCCTTCCCAGAGAATAGCATAATTATTTCATAACTTACAATAAGAACAATACTTTAATTACATGCATATTTAATTCAATCTCAAAAAACGTACGTATTTCGAAAACAACAAGACCACATACAAGGCTGGGTAGTGTTTCACCACTGCACTCATTTTAAAGAGGGAAAAAGGCTGTAAGAATATGGTTCAAAGAATCATAAAAACGTTGGTTAGAAGAAACTTCTGGAGGTCATCTGGCCCAACACTCCTTCTCAGACTACCACAGACCCTTAATTAGGCTGACTGGGTTTTGTCCACTGTAGCTCTGAGTACCTCAAACAATGAGGCTTGAGCCACTTCCTATGAAAGATTATTCTTCTTCAATTTGCCTGGCACAGAAATGCCCACGGTCATGTCAAGCTACCTTCTCCAAGGGTTTTTAGGAGGAAGCAGGATGTTTATCTAGGAAGGCAGGATTTCCTGTGGATTTCCAGCAGTCTTCTCACTAGGAAGGGGCAACAAAGCAGCACTAAAGAAAAACGTGTCAGACTGCTCCTTTGTCCATCAATTACCACTACAGTGGCATTGCTTGTGAGCTGCCAGGGGACAGCTAGTATTTTTAGTTGGTATGACAAATCCCTACCTCCCACTGGAGCAAAAAGCAAAGTTTCCAGTATTTAAGACTGAACACGGACACAGTCCCTTTAAGGAAATATATTTCTGGCTCTCTGACACTGGGCTGAGGTATTTTAAGTTCAGCCACTTACAAGACTCCAGCAGTAAAACAGCCAAGGCTGAAAACTATCAATTTTCCCACAACATCAGAAGATGCTGAATGCCTTTACTGCCACTCAGAATCAATGGAGCAACCATACTACCACAAGCTTAACCATTTGCACTAAGTGACTATCAACACCAGGCACTTCTATTTTCATTGAAGCATCACCATGAAGACAGTCTTGCTAGACCTACTCAGGAAATATAATTTTCTGGAACTACACAGTAGGCAAGAGTGAAAGTTAATTGGAAATACGCAAGATGAAGCACTGGTCTTAGAAATGCTCTTGACTGAGTTTCTGCATGGCATGCAAATATTCTACATAAAGAATCATGTCAATCTAAATTAGTGAAAGGGAACATGTTCTCAAAGAGATGATAACTTAGTGGTTAGAGTGGTTAGAATTTAGATAGGCAGGTATAATATTAACAAGCAGGACCCAAGGTGTAAAGGTACCTAAAGGTACCCTAACTAGTCTTACAATGCTTAGCTCATTCCTCAGCTGCTCAGTGGCTTTGTATAGATTTCCACAACATAAGCAGCAGCAAGAAAATTGTCACTGATATTTGTCTAGAGTTATCCAAGTAGTTCAGCTAAGGATTTTTTGCTCTTGCCTAGAAACCAATGCTGTGAGTAAAGACTGCAGAAGAATCCAAGGATTATCAGTGCCAGGCCGTGGATTTCCTTGTATGTGTTCAACATTCTCGTGGCTTATTTAGCTGCATAAATTTTGGAATGACTTCTGCTTGTTTCTTTTACCCTCCTAGAAAAACAAACATGGTTCTGTTTTAATATTCTTGCTTGGATTTTCCCCTATCATTCCTAATGATGGAATGTGGGATAATTTTCCTCTGGTACCAATGATTAGAATGAGAACTAAACCAACAGAGCACAAGTGCTGTGGGCAGATCTCCAGATATTTATGTTCTGAGCTGCATTTTTCAATTGCTTGGTCCAGCAAGCATAACTTATCTGCACTAATAATTTGCATTACAACAACAAAACTGAGGCAAAATATTTACGCTGCAGACAACAGTCAGACTTTTGTGCACAATATAAAGAAACTATTTCAGTGGAAAGAACTTCACTATGGAAAAAAAAATAAACAATCCATGTGTCAATCTCCAAAAAGGTTTTGATCAGTGAGTCAAAAATGAACGTTCCAGTTTGGTCTGCAACAGCTGTGCACAGCAGCCCAGGCTCCTTCTCCCTGCTGACTTGTCCCAACACTGCATTAGTAGAAATGCTTGACTTGATGAGGTTTAATCTTTTGTAAACTACTGTAAATATTTATGCTTGCACAAAAAGCATCATCCTGTGACAAAAGTGAGACAGCTTCAAGGAAACATGTAGCTGAGCAGTACTGATGATGGGAGAAACGTCAATGAACTGCAATACATGATGGAAGAAGAATGGGGAGTGATTCTCCGTGCTAATTAATACAAGACAGACCAATTTGGAGCTATTTTCCATTATTCATTTAAGCACTCACCTGCACCCCAATTTAATAGAAATTTTGCACAAACAAGTAACCCAGGATTTAAATGCAAGTACCTCCTTTCCATT